CTCTACATCATCGATCACTTTCCTCTTTGGCCCCATAATCTCCTTGATCAGAAAATTTGGGACACAACTGAGTTACATGATGGTACAGTACAAGTTCTCACATATCCTGAGTCTTAATTGACCTTGGAAGGCTAGGGCCAAAATGTTGGCTTTCCTTATGCCCTTCCTTTTTCTCTAATTTTGGTCAGAAAACTTAGGTTGTTAACCATCCAGAAGACAAGCTTATTGTTCTTACCATACAACTTAAGCTGTTAAGCTTAACCTCACTATCTGTCTGCATATCAAACATCTTACGCATAATATGGAACAGGTATTTTTCATCAAGTATTGATAGGTTGAACTTTAAGTCCTTACAGAATATGATAAAAAAATTTAAAAATTAGAATATTTTTTTAAAAATAGGCATAAAGAATTATATACTTCTTATGTTTACACATAAGTCCAAAAATCTCACCATGTACAATCTTGAAGCAGGACAGTCCCACAATATTCCTTTTCCTGTCTCTTGCTTTCATTTACCACCCCCTTCTTTTTAGACAACCATCTACCCAACAGACATCATAGCAGCAACTGGCATGTCATGAAAAGCAGCCCGTATTCAGAAGACCAGAATGACAGGCACTCCAAGCATGAAACTACTATTACAGATTACCATATGCAGTGCAGTAGCTTAGTTCACAGCTATCAGTATATATAGTTAGTCAGGGTGAGAATCTTTCCAATTAACTGCTAGACTCAAAAATCTTCTGAAGATTCTCAGGATCATTGCCTTGCACATCTTATACATATAGCTGTATGGCTTGACTTATTCATGTTTCCTAGCTCTTCTCCTTTCCCTCTCTTGATTAGTTAGTCCTTGAGATCCTGCTTTCCTTTTGCTTGTATTATATCTTTCTATTTGTATTTCTTCTTTGGAGTTCTTATGCTAGGAAAACTATGCGATATTTACACATGTGTGTCTGGTTTATTTCACTTATGAGAATATGTTCAAATGGCATCCACTTCCATATAAAGGCTTCAAGTTTATCATTCTTAATAGCTGAATAATACTCCATTGTGTAAAAATACCACATCTTTTTCAACCATTCCTCTGGTGATGGGCATCTTGGTTGTTTCCAAGATTTGGCTATCACAAATTGTGCTGCTAGAAACATAGGCACACATACATCACTATGATATGATGTTTTCAGATCCTCTGGGAAATTTCC